GTTGGCGTGCCGGGTACTTATTTGGAAGGTGATTAAAAGAGATGAGGGCTAGCCAGGAGTGGCCGGGATTGGGGGAAGTCCTTGATTTAAACATATAGTCCTAAAAATATTTTAAAGTTTATTATCAAGAAAGAAAGATGTTTTAAAAATTTTTAATTTATCGCTACAGCTAATGTTGTATAAATGATTCAGATTTAAAAGTTAGACTAATGATGATTAGATGTAGTTTAGTGTTATGATGTTTTATACAACATTTATCCTGTTTAACCCTAAATGTTATGCTCTAATTTCACTTCCACGATAAAACAGAAATTTACAAAAAAATGTCCAGTAAAAATTATATTTGTTTAGGTGTAAATCCTTCAACCTACTGGGTGTCAGCTCTCCTGTGGGACCTGATCATGTATACCGCATCTGCGTCACTTTGCGTCATTATTTTCCTCATTTTTGACGCAGATGCGTACGTTTCTGAGGATAATCTTGGCCCATTAGGTAGGTTCTAAAATATGTGTCATTTTGATTATTTGATTATTATTATTATTATTATTATTATTTATTATTATTATTTTTATTAAGTTCTCCTATTGCTACTGTACGGGTTTGCTTCTGTACCTCTTATGTACCCTGCCAGCTTCGTATTCTCTGTACCCAGGTATGTACAGATTCTACAGACTATACAGGTTCTACAGATTCAATAGAATGCTCAGATTCTACAGATTCTACTGATTCTACAAATTCTACAGATTCTACAGATTCTAAAGACTATACAGATTATACATATCTGTAGAATCTACAGATTCTACAAATTCTATAGATTGTTAAGATTTTAATGTACAGAGATAAAATTGTACTTTTTTTCAATAAAACCCTTTGAAGTTTTCAAAATCAATTAAAATTTTACTTTAAAAATTGCTATGTATTATTTTCGATTAATTTTTTAATCATCGATAGTTCGGCATTCGTGACCCTAGCCTGCGCAAACCTGTTTATCGGGATCATCACAACCATCACCACCTTCGTCCTGGAGAACTTCGACGACGTCGAGCTCAAGAATATCGGCAACATTTGTAAGAAGGTCAACAACATTTTTTAGTTTATGATTCATTTAATTCTGACAACCACTGTTTTGATACAGTGAAACCCTTAATAACGAATACTGCATCGGAAGAATTTATCAAATGTCGTCTTGACAATTTTTCAATGAGTTTTATACTATATTACGTAAATTTCAGTATTTGCGAAAATAAATAAATGGCCATGAATATGCAGGAACAGTATTAAAGAGTTCCATATAATCATTTAATTAAAAAACTAAATATCTGCGCGCAACATTCCATTATCAGAAAGTGAAGAATACGACATTTGATGAATTCTTTCGATGTATTCGTTATTAAGGGTTTCACTGTAAGATATGATCATTGGGATAAAAGATACCTTACAATTTGTACTTAACATTCAAATAATGCGAGCCGCATATTTTGAAATTTGTATCAGGTGTTCTTGATTTTCCCGCATTATTGCCTGGGCCGTGGACTCATGGATATGGCCACAGAGCAGAGCATTAACTCGGTTATTGCAAAGTTTGGACTTATCTCAGTCAGGTAATTTATTTTTACCTACAAAGCTGATATTTTCATAAATAAAATCAAAACTTTTGTCATAACTCAAATTTTCAGGAGCCGATTTGAATTCGATTTTCTCGGAAAATACTTCCTGTGGATGTTCGTCCAAGGAATTGTTTTCTTCCTCGCTACGCTCGCGATTCAGTCCGAGTTCTGGACCTGGAGATTGAAGAAGGACGAGACGGAAACGAAAGTACCGGAGGAGATAGAGGATCTGGACGAGGATGTGGAGAAAGAACGGAGTAGGATTCTAAACTCTCAAGGTGGATCAGATGTACTGCAGGTGAGTTGATTCTTGATTTCAGAAATGACCAACTGTATGGGATTGGTTAATTGCCAGGCTTAAAACCTTCTCTAAGATTGGTAACACAGAATCTGCTTCCTCTACAAAGTTTTATTTTTAAGAGGTTTTTTAATCTCAATTTTATTTCAGACCAAGAACCTGTTCAAAAGATACAACAAGAATATTCGCCAAGCAGTTGATAATCTGACCTTCGGAGTAAGCAAGGGCGAATGCTTTGGCCTGCTCGGGGTCAACGGAGCTGGAAAGACGACGACATTTAAAATGATGACTGGAGATACGGACGTAACTGCCGGAGAGGCGTTTGTTGGTGGATACAGTATACTCAGGGATATGGATAAAGTCAGAAGCAGTCTTGGATACTGTCCACAGTTTGATGCTCTAGATTCACTGCTTACTGGTAAATTAGAGGAGGGGAGAGAGAAGGGAAGGGAATGGAAGGGAAGGATTAGAAATGAAGGGATTGGAAGGAAAGGGATTTAAAAGGAAGGGGTTGAAAGGGAAGGAATTGGAAGGAAAGGGATTAGCAGTGAAGGAAAGGAAGGGATTGGAAGGAAAGGGAAGGGATTGGAAGGAAAAGAAATGGATTGGAAGGAAAGAAAAGGAATTGGAAGGGAAGGGATTGGAACGGAAGAGATTGGAAGGGATTGGAAGGAAATGAATTGGAAGGGAAGGGAAATGGAAAGAAGTTATTGTATGTGTCAGAAAACCAGTAAAGCAAAAAGATAATTTTTTATATTTTCCCCCCTTGGTATTACATATACTTAGCAGAAGATCGTTTTCTACAGATTTTTTGAAATTACACGGGCAATGTCATCTCTAGATGATTAACATGATACAGTTAAACCCTGAATGAGGCGTACCTCAAAAGAATTTATCAAATGTCGTCTTGACAATTTTTCAATGGTTTTTATACTATTTTACGTAAATCTTAATATTTGCGAAAATAAATAAATAGCCATGAATATGCGGGAACAGTTTTAAAGAGTTCCATATAATCATTTAATTAAAAAACTAAATATCTGCAACATTAAATGATCAGAAAGTGAAGAATACGACATTTGATGAATTTTTTCGATGTATAGCTTGTTTAGGGTTTAACTATCTTTAACTTTAACTTCAGAAACTATGCATTGTTCAATTTAATTTGAAAGTTGTGTTGACAAAATCAAATAGAAGCCTGTTTGATCCTTAGTCGTTGAAATAGACATTAACAGAGGTTAAATTAGAATAGGGGGGTGCTACAGCTAATGTTGNAGGGTGGAGGGGGGGTTTGATTGTTAGTAGTTGAAAGAGGCATTTACAGAGGTTAATCAGAATAGGGGGGTGGAGGTGGGTTTGATCCTTAGTAGTTAAAAGAGACATTAACAGAGGTTTATCAGAATATGGAGGTGGAGGGGGGTGGAGGGTGGTTTGATGTTATTCCCCAGCTGGCGTTGTAATTTTATGTTTCCTTTCATTTAAGTGGAATACCCGAATACAACAGTATCCTTTAGACATTTATCTGCTCAGTAATGCTCAAGTCACTTTGCAGAGAAACTACAATTTAAAATAATCAACCTTAAAAAAAAGATGGTTGATTGCATTCTTTATCCGACAAGGCTTTTAATGGTAAAGTTGTGAATTTAACATTACACCCTATAAATGGAGAATCCCTTGAATTACGACTTCACTCCCATTTATCAGAATAAATGTGATAGTTTAGACTGTAAAAAAGCCTTTGTGTAAAAAAACGTTTTTTCTTTTTTTTCTTGCATTTGAAAAGGACGGAAATTCTGCTTTGAAAACATTCTTCCTTATTACAAATTACAATGCATGGTGTTGTATGCAATATATTTGGATTAGGTTTATAATTGTATATTTATATATATTTGTAAATATATAAATATACAATCTTAGTTCTTTGCACCAGTCATAGAGATATTTAGAGGAAAAAACATAAGCACAGAAACTTTTATAAAATCTGCAGCAAAATAGACAGTTTTTTTTTAAATGTAAGATTTATTGACTTGAAAACCAAGAATTACAAATCTTTGTAAATTATAATTTCTTCTTTTGCAGTTTTTAAACAAATGAAACTTAAATTTTTAAATGGGTATTTTTTTAATTCATTTCTATGACACTTGGTGTAACCACAGATAAATTAAATAGAACTAGGAAATGGCGGAGTCTTGCATATCTGAGCATGTTACATCCCTTTCTTGACTTCGTTGCAGTTATTAGAGCAGCCATTGCTGCTGTGTGTCAATCCCTACAGTCCCTACACTCCCTGCAGTCCCTACAGTCCCTACACTCCCTACAGTCCCTATAGTCCCTACAGTCCCTAAAGTCCCTACACTCCCTACAGTCCCTACAATCTCTACAGTCCCTACACTCCCTACAGTCCCTACAGTCCATACAGTCCCTACAGTCTCTACAGTCCCTACACTCCCTACACTTCCTACAGTCCCTACACTCCCTAAACTTCCTACAGTCCCTAGTCCCTACAGTCCCTACAGTGCCTACAACCCCTACACTCCCTACAGTCCCTACAGTCCCTACAACACCCTTTAATGTGAAATTTTAAATAATTTGCTTGATAAAAATGCTCAAATACAACTTGCACCAGTCCTACTCCTTTTTTAAAAGAATTATAATTTTAAACTTACTCAGATTTTGCTTTATTTGTGTAAATCATACAATACAAATACAATTATTTCAGCGAAAAACTCTCAAACGATTAATTCATAAACGTAAAATCGTTAGAATCAGCTTGAAATTAAACGATCATTAAGAGCAAAGCAAATTGTCAGAGCGCGCTCCTAAAAAACAAGATTTTTTTTGCCTTGAAACAAATTAATGATATTCAGAGGTTCGAAAATTAAAAATTAAAAAATTGACATCCCAAAAGATCTATATTGAGTCTTGATTTGTTAAATTCTATTTTAATCGGTCTTGCTTCCAACATGTTACAATATAGATTTTTAAATTCTAGTTCCAATCACTTTTTAAACGTTGTCATTTTTAGGAAATATCGAATTACAGTAAATACTATTAAATAATTGATACCAATACAGTACAATGATAGAGTCGGACCTGTCCGAATTTAGTAGAACCTTCATGATCCCTGACTTTATGAGAGAGGTTTCCAGTCAAATTAATCTTTTTCAGGACGTGAGCACTTGACCTTGTACGCTCGGCTCCGAGGATTGGATGAAGCCTCTGTGAAGCGAGCAACTGAATGGGGATTAAAGAAACTGGGACTAGTCGCTTACTCTGATAGGTTAGTAACTAGTCGCTTACTCTGATAGGTTAGTAACTAGTCGCTTACTCTTATAGGTTAGTAACTAGTCGCTTACTCTGATAGGTTAGTAACTTAGTAAACCAGGGAATGAGAGTATGTCAGGGGGATAGGGTTCCTTGACATTTTACTATGATGATTCACAACGGTACCCTTTAAAACTGTTATTTTAGTAACAATATAAAAGATATCATCATTTTTCTGTCTTGTTAAGTGTCAATTCTGACAATAATCGTCGCTTTTTCCGCTGATAAATCACTTTTACCTCGAGAAACAGCAATAGAAAACACAAAGGTGTATAAGGGGCTGTTGTGAATCTGATAACAAGCCCATTTATAGTTGAAATTTCGAATACATTTCAGTTTACATTGGTTGATCATATTTGTGCAGTGCTCAGCTGAATTAACTTATATATAGTATATCTCGGACGCCATTTTTAATTTAGATGTGCTGGAACCTACTCTGGTGGTAATAAACGGAAACTATCAACTGCCATAGCGCTTGTAGGTAAACCTGATTCTCTCATCCCTATATCTTTGCAACTCAATGTCGCAGATTTTCTCGTTCCTATATCATTGCAACCTGATAGTGTAAACCTTTGATGTTTCAAACTATGAATTCTGTTAGTTCAAATAATCTAAGTTTGAATTATCAAAGGTTTAAACCATCAGGTTGCAATGATGTAGGGATGGGAAAATTTGGTACAATTCATAGTGATGAGTGTTTTGTAGATTTTTTAATGGAGAGTAAAGAAGAAAACCTCTAAGCGTTTTTTCTTCTATGTAGATTGTTTTTCGACAATTCGACAATTAATCAATTAATTCATAACATTTGAAATCCCTAGGAAATCCGTCCATCGTGTTCCTTGATGAGCCAACAAGTGGAATGGACCCAGGAGCCAGGAGGTTCCTCTGGAACAGTATACTAGAGATGATCAAGGTACAGTGATAAACGATTTTATCAATACAATGAAGATGACTTTTAATTTCAATTTATATTAAGCTGTAAAATTAGCATTGATTAACACATAAACATAGAAGTCAATTGAAGCTGTCAATTAAAAAACCTTCTCTTTGATTACTTTCAATGTTGTAATTAGACTTTTCTTTACTCCTGTAATAACTATTAACTTTACAAAAATCAAAGACAAATTACAAGTCCAGGGTTCCGGTCCATTGTCTAATGTACTGCACGATACCCCACTGAGCAAATTACATCAACAAATTCATTCTATATAAAGCCATGGTATAAACTTCTTTTTTTTTAACACCAAAATATAGATTTTATGATACTGTACTGCTTATCAAAAACAACTGTACAGTGTATTTTTTAAATCAGTAAAATTACTTGTTCATCAATTATATTCAGAATAACAGTGTATAGTTAAAGTACAGATTTTTACAGTGTTTGATAAATGACTAGATTTTGTATCTCCTTGTGAAATCAAACCACTGCACTGTGTCAGTTAATTTATTTGATATAAACACTAGTTTAAATCAACAGGGGGTGAATTTATATCGTAAAAACTGTTGTATATTTACTGCGACATAGGATCTACGGGTGTTCCATTAAACATAACAGTTGAAAAACAACATAAAGGTCGTTATTAATCTTTAAGAGTTTGCACGACTAATAAGCTTTCCATAAAATTTTCTTAAGAAATTTTGATATGAAAAAGCAATCACAGATTAAAGAATGATGTAAAAAATATCTAAAAAATTTTATTCTTATGGGGATAGGCAGGGGGGGGGGGGCCTAATCTTGAACATTAATTGTTAAAGAAGAGAAAAAATTTTTTAGAAAAAAGTTAACTTTTGTAGTTTTAGTTTGAGTAAATCAAGATTTTATTATTTTCAGCATCAATAAACTAAGTTTCATGCATCGGAAACTATTTGTCCTTTGCACACACAGGACTTCCTGCACATACATACAGACTACTGTAAACATTTGCATCAATTTTATATTGTATATTGTATAATGTATATTGTATATTGTATATTGTATATTGTATATTGTATATTGTATAAAATGTAAAAGCTCTATGGTATATTGTATATTGTATATTGTAGGGTGGACAGTCTGTAGTCCTAACCTCCCACTCTATGGAGGAATGTGAGGCTCTATGTTCAAGATTAGGAATCATGGTCAACGGACAGTTTAAATGCTTAGGTAAGACATTTATTTCAAAGCTCTTAAATTGATCTGGAGTTTTTCTACAAATTTAAAGCAAAATATTAAATTATCAATTATCTCAAAGTTTCCACTTGTCCAGGTTCTATCCAGCATTTAAAGAACAGGTTCGGATCAGGATATACTCTTACTATACGATGTGAGGAGGGGAAAGGAGAAGAGGTGAATACTTTTTCAATCAATCAATCAAATATTCAATAAATCGATTTATCAATAAATCAAAAATTAAATTCTTAATGTTAAATGTTTAATGAATAAATTTAAATTAACTAAATGAATTAAACCATGTAACGATGAAGAATTGAAGTTTATTCTTAATGAATAATTATATCATATAAAATAATTGGCTGAATGAATAAACAAACGAACGAATGAATGAATGAAAACATTAAATTATTGGCAAATAGAAGGATAAAAAATGCAAGGATGAATTAATGAATGAATGCATACTTAGATGAATAAAAATACAGAAGATTGAATGACGAATGATTTGATGAATGAATAAAATGATGAATTAAGAGAATAAGTAAATTAAAGAATATGAATGAATTAAATAATGAATAAAAGGATGAATGAATAAAAGGAAGGATGAATTAAATAATGAATAAAAGGATAAATGAATGAATAAATGAATGACTAGATGAGTGCCAGAATGTCGGTACTTCTACCCCTGGCCGAACTAAAAGAGGAACATTATAATCAACTTCAGTTCCAGCTTCCAGTTATAGGAACCAAACTACCTGCTGTATTCAGGTATACTAGGAACCAAACTACCCGCTGTATTGAGGTATACAACCAAACTACCTCCTGTATTTAGATATACTAGGAACCAAACTACCCGCTGTATTCAGGTATACTTGAAACCAAACTACCCCCTGTATTCAGGTACACTAGGAACCAAACTACCCGCTGTATTCAGGTATACTGGGAACCAAACTACTCGCTGTATTCAGCTATACTACGAACCAAACTACCCCCTGTATTCAGGTATACTAGGAATCAAACTACCCGCTGTATTCAGGTATACTGGGAACCAAACTACCCACTGTATTCAAGTATACTAGGAACCAAACTACCCGCTGTATTCAGGTATACTAGAAACTAAACTACCCCCTGTATTCAGGTAAACTGGGAGAACCAAACTACCCACTGTATTCAGGTATACTAGGAACCAAACTACCCGCTGTATTGAGGTGTACAACCAAACTACCTCCTTTATTTAGATATACTAGGAACTAAACTACCCCCTGTATTCAGGTACACTAGGAACCAAACTACCCGCTGTATTCAGGTATACTGGGAACCAAACTACTCGCTGTATTCAGCTATACTAGGAACTAAACTACCCCCTGTATTCAGGCATACTACGAATCAAACTACCCGCTGTATTCAGGTATACTGGGAACCAAACTACTCGCTGTATTCAGCTATACTAGGAACTAAACTACCCCCTGTATTCAGGCATACTACGAATCAAACTACCCGCTGTATTCAGGTATACTGGGAACCAAACTACCCACTGTATTCAGGTATACTAGGAACCAAACTACCCGCTGTATTCAGGTATACTAGGAACTAAACTACCCCCTGTATTCAGGTACACTAGGAACCAAACTACCCGCTGTATTCAGGTATACTTGAAACCAAACTACCTGCTGTATTCAGGTATACTAGGAACCAAACTAGCTGCTGTATTCAGGTATAATAGGAACCAAACTACCTCCTGTATTCAGGTATACTAGGAACCAAACTACCTGCTGTATTCAGGTATACTAGGAACCAAACTACCCAATGTATTCAGGTATTCTAGGAACCAAACTACCTTCTGTATTCAGGTATACTAGGAACCAAACCTTCTGCTGTATTCAGGTATACTAGGAACCAAACTACCCCTTGTATTCAGGTATACTAGGAACCAAACTACCTGCTGTATTCAGATATACAACCAAACTACCCGCTGTATTCAGATATACTAGGAGCCAAACTACCTGCTGTATTCAGATATACAACCAAACTACCTGCTGTATTCAGGTATACTAGGAAACAAACTACCTCCTGTATTCAGATATACTAGGAACCAAACAACCTGCTGTATTCAGGTATAATAGGAACCAAAGTACCCCCTGTATTCAGGTATACTAGGAACCAAATTACCCGCTTTATTCAGGTATACCTGGAACCAAACTACCTGCTGTATTCAGGTATACTGGGAACCAAACTACCCCCTGTATTCTGGTATACTAGGAACCAAACCGCCTGCTGTATTCAGATATACCTGGAACCAAACTACCCGCTGTATTGAGGTATACTTGGAACCGAACTACCTGCTGTATTCAGGTATACTAGGAACCAAACTACCTGCTGTATTCAGATATACTTGGAACCAAACTACCCGCTGTATTGAGGTATACTTGGAACCAAACTACCTGCTGTATTCAAGTATACCTGGAACCAAAATGTATTCAAGTATAATAGGAACCAAACTACCTGCTGTATTCAAGTATAATAGGAACCAAACTATCTATCTATCCTGTTTCTTTTAAACTTTATCTCTTACCTTTGGTTACAGCTTTGCCAAGTCTATTATAAACAGGATAACTTTAATAAATCTATTATCAATCAATCAATCAATAAATCAATGTTTATATTATCAACTAATTATTATTTAGACATATGGAAGATTTGAGGGCTCAAGGATTCTTAGAGGATTATAGTTTAACTCAGACTACTCTAGACGAAGTCTTTGTTAGGTTAGTTTAATTATTTGTTAGGTTAGTTTAATTATTTGTTAGGTTAGTTTAATTATTTGTTAGGTTAGTTTAATTATTTGTTAGGTAAGTTTAGTTATTTGTTAGATTAGTTTAATTATTTGTTAGATTAGTTTAATTATTTGTTAGATTAGTTTAATTATTTGTTAGGTAAGTTTAACTATTTGTTAGGTTAGCTTAATTATTTGTTATGTTAGTTTAATTATTTGTTAGATTAGTTTAATTATTTGTTAGGTAAGTTTAACTATTTGTTAGGTTAGTTTAATTATTTGTTAGGTTAGTTTAATTATTTGTTAGGTTAGTTTAATTAGTTTACTCTAGGTTTACTAAGGAACAAACATCTAACCCTATGTTTACTCTAGGTTTGCTTAAGAACAAACATCTAACCCAATGTTTACTCTAGGTTTGCTAAGGAACAAACAGATCTGCAGGAAGATGAAATAAAACCAAAGAATCTCAAACAAAAAATTCTCGACACCATGACTAACAAAAAGAATTAAAGTATTTTTTTTCTCAATTTTTCACAATTTACAGTGTTATTTTTCCAACTAAAGTAGATACGTTATGTACTGTATTTCGGTGCAATATTCAATGTTATGCTGTACAGTTTTCAATTAACCTACTGTACAAGGTGTACGTGTACAATGTTTGCAGTAAAAAGAATGTCTCACTAATATAGTCACGATATTTATATCTACCTCTTCACCACTTATAGGTGGTGTTACAATCAATATATTTATCCGGACTAAATACAGGTTTATAGGTGGTGTTACAATCAGCATATTTATCCGGACTAAATACAGGTTTATAGGTGGTGTTACAATCAATATATTTATCCGGACTAAATACAGGTTTATAGGTGGTGTTACATATTTATCCGGACTAAATACAGGTTTATAGGTGGTGTTACAATCAATATATTTATCCGGATTAAATACAGGTTTATAGGTGGTGTTACAATCAATAAATTTATCCGGACTAAATACAGGTTTATCCAAAAATAATATAATAATAACGAACGTTAACTGTTAACATTGTAACGAACTAAAAGCTAAATATTGTTTTTGCTATGTGAATAGTTCTAAATGATAAACTTAATTATTTAGCAAAGTTGCAGGAACACAAAAACTTAAGAAAGATGCGAATTAGATTTCGTTAAGTCGTCTCTGAAGTCTCAACTTTTGTGGGTAACCCTGTATGTTGTGCTGCAATCAATGTCTAATTTCTCATATCTTATATGTAGATATGTATACAGGAAAAAAATATCTCACTTGTCTAAGTTATGGTTTAGTCATTATACAGCATACATATTAACACTGTATGGGTAGAATTTTATGTAATCAAATATTGTAATCTTTACTAGCATCTAGTAGCTTTGTCTATCTACTTGTTACTTTTTCATTAAATCATGTATTAAAGAGGCTGTCAACAAAATTTTAAAGTTTATCATATTCATAAACGTTTCTCAAAAGTCCTTAGTTTTAGAAACCAAGAATTTGATTTACACACCAGGCAGGCTTATTTTATATTACGTTGATTATTCTTATAAAAAGGGAATTGTTCCCCTTTTCAAATATATTCTTTTTATTGTACAGTATTAGGAAAATGAAAAGAAGTAGTTGCCACAAACTCAAATTTTTTTAATTCCTAAATCTTTACAACCAGCTATCGTATACCTTTAATATTTCAATTTGTGAATTATATTAGATGAAAAAGTCTAAGATTGAAATATCAAAGATTTACAACATCAGGTTGGAAAAATATATGGACTCGAAAAATTAAACTTGTGGCAAAAAATCAATTTCTTTTTTAACACAACAAAGTCAAAAAATAATATAATATTATAATATTTTTTCAAAAAGGTAAAAAATAAACAATCCTGAAAAATATAAACAAGGTATATTATTTAGTCATAAATATTTCCTATTCTCTGTGATTAGCTATGTATTTGTCCCGTCCAGTATAATTAGAATCATTCCGTAGAAAGCTATTTTATAAACCTATCTTACTAAATAGTACAATTTTAACGCCACATGAACATGATTTTGAGAAATCAAATATATTAGAATTTACTAGATGCCTAGTGTGCACTTACTTGCCCCCAAGGAACTGAATGTTTGCTTCAAACTCACATTTTCCAGCTAAACTCTATATCTTTGCAACCTGAAATTCATAGTTTGAAATATCATAGGTCTATGACATTGGATGGCAAGGATATAGAAACTAGAAAATCAGAGTTTTTGAAAAAAACTCAACTCCTTTGGTGAATTTTTGGTAATTTTCAGTGAATTTTTTTTTAAAGCAGCACCTGGATGACCTGAATTCATACATAAAAGTTCACCTTTTTCATTTCACAGAGTAATTTTTGTAAAAAGTTCGCATTTACTCAAAAAATTTACAGTAAAACCACAAATTTCTTCATTTGTTGATTTTTGTTCAGGGTGAGCGTTAAATTGAGTCACATTAGTTCTTGTGCATCTTTAGTTTTAATATTATTTTAAACAACGAATTCGGTTTTTTTAACTTATAGCCTAAATATGCATAAAACTAGTTTTTATTGATTAAATTATGTAAAATTCTGTAAGATGTTAATATTTATCCAATGTTACTCTTATGTAAGTAACAAGTTGTCCAAAGTTATGTAATTTTGTTACTATTGTAATCATGTTATAGATAATAAAATATTTGGTAATATTCTTTTAGATATATTTTTCAAACAATTAATCCTTTTATTTAAATCCATCTTCTTTCAGGGTTTATAATTTACTGTTTAAAGTATATTTTTTTCAACTCGTCAATTTTGTATTTTTCTGGTAATCCTGTGAGTATTATTTTCGCTCTAGGTTCTGGCCATTTTTAAAGAAAATAGTTAAAAAGTTAAAATAAACGTACAATACGTGTCCACTCTTCAACACAAAAAAGTACAATTTTAAAGCTTGATTGTCAAAAACAGCAAACTTTAATTCTTTAAATGTGCAATGCCTGAGAAATGGTTGATAAGCATGCTTAAAGGAATATAGACATTAATTCAATCGAACTTCCATTAATAGAGTTGTACATTGTACAGAGAATATATCTGCGAGCTTAAAGGGAAAATAGACTTTAATTCAGTCGAACTTCCAATAATAGAGTTATATAAATAAATGAATAGATGGATAAATAAATAAATGAATTTATAAATGGATAAATGAATTATTCTTGTTTAAAATTGATAAGTTTAAATTGAGGTCTGAACATAGAAATTATCAGAAATTAATAAATAAAAGACGATACATTACTTATTGTTTCTCAAAGTAAGAAAGCAAGGAAAGTGAATTGCTGTTGCGTATTCTCTGTGTACATATTCAAACCAGTTCTTTTTGAGCCCATTCTCTCCATAGAAAGTAGCCGTGTATTTCACGTACTTTGGGGGACGATATGTTGGCCTCTAGATGTCTCATGCTAAGTTCTTATCTGATAGATAGATATTTCTCCGTACATTTCACGACCAAAATAGGAGACGTCAAGTTGTCGACCAATGTAGTTTATGGAAGGAACGGCCTCTGGGCTGTGTTTGTAAACAAGAATAGATCACTGTTCCTCTAATACACAATAAGAAGAGTACAATGTAGAGTTTACTACTGCTCAGTAATGTCTGTGGAAATATTTATCTGTAATTTAAAAAATGAATTCTCGTCTTACCTTTTAAATTTTTATGCTCGTCATCTCAATCTCTAAGTTTTCTAAATCAAGTTATTTCCCTCCTTTCTTGGTAAAATTTTCTTTTGTTTTTAGACTTTTTTATTATAATTATAATGCGTTTCGATCGTTTAATTTTGATAATTAATACGATAGTTTCCTATGACCAGAATATGTTATTGATTTTTTATGTAAAAGATGGATCTTTGATGTCAGGCGGCGACACCCCTACTCTTTACAGCACAGAGCCTGTACGTTGCAGTACAAAAAATAACCAGAGATAAGAGAGTTACAGAGATCGATTATCAGTTAAAATATGCGATATTTTCCACAGCATGTTCTATTGTGTACAAGTACTGTACACGACCAATCATCAAACATTCAGGGATATTTAAGGATCCTTTAGATACGAAACACAAAATCTTCAGAAAAAGAGTGAACTCATAATTGTTATGTTTCATGTTTAAAATTGGAGTATTTCTTTGAAAAATGTTAAAGTTAACCCCTGAATGAGTATTATATTCAACAAGTGGCCGTGAGATGGCACTCTAAAAACCTATCGTAAAAACATATTTTTATTGTCTTTAGATGGATTATGTGGGCACTTGACTCTTATACTAATTAGAACTTACTGTATTAGAAAATAAACAAAATGGTAGAGATTAAAAATCTAAATTGTTATCAACATCTTCTCCTAACTTTCAATTCAAACAAAAGAAAATTAGAATGAATTTAATGAATGAGTACATTACATAACATTGATATATATAAACATTTAGCCACTAAAAAATAATAATGATAATTTGAGTAATGAACTATAATGGCAAACGTTAACCAATGCTTTAAAATAAAAGATGATTTTCTTTTCAAAGACTTTCTTACAGATAGTTTAGTGTTCAATCAAGTCAAAGACATAAGTTCCATTTTAAATTCACTAAAAAATTTTTTTTTTGACTTTATATAGTTTGTTCTTTGACTCATTTTCAGGGTTGATTGGTTCGCTGATTATTTTGCCGGGAAACAAGCTTGGTCACAATAAAACAGCTGATTGCATGGAGATATCTGTGCGCAATGCACCGGATATTCTGAGCTAGGCATCAGCTGATGAGCGCTGCAGTGCTCCCGACTAGAATTCAGCTGTGCGCACTGATCTTGAAAAGACAGCGAGGCATGCTGCGCATACTCGTCTTTAAAATCTGGAGTCTGGGTTCTTTTCTCCAGACTGTACGTATTGTTTTGATCCGATTCGTTGCATTCACGGAGAACATTGTTGTAACTCCCACAGTGGTCCAAACTATAGGGACCAGAACGACAATATGGTAGTCGAGGGAGGGTAAAACTTGTATTCGTGTATTCGTTTTGTTCACCAGCTATTGTACTTCTATCCATATCTGTTCGGGAGAAACGTGCACAGTCCTGGAAAAATTTAGAAAATTAAACTATTTGACATTTATCAACCTTGTGTTCTAACTGTAGAGTGTGACCTATGTTGACATTGTATACTAAATGTAGGGTTTAACCTTTATCAACCTTGTGTTCTAACTGTAGAGTGTGACCTATGTTGACATTGTATACTAAATGTAGGGTACCTTGTGTTCTAACTGTAGAGTGTGACCTATGTTGACATTGTATACTAAATGTAGGGTTTGACCTTTATTGACCTTGCGTTCTAACTGTAGATTGTGACCTATGTTGACATTGTATACTAAATTTAGGGTTTGACCTTTATTGACCTTTTTAAACCATGTTTTCTAACTATATAATTTGACCTTTATCAATAAGGAATTAAACAACTGAAAAGATTGATATCACATGTCTAAAATTCACACCACAAAGGTATTGGCTTTTGGGCACTTTTTAGAAATGGTTTACTTGCGAATACAAAATCCTTGGCGATATCTCATAATTAAAAGAATAGATAAGATAATTTAACTGTTTTCTAGTTCTCAATGTTTTTTACCTTGTGTTCTAACTGTAAGGTTTGGTAACCGTAATTACTACGCTGAATACAATTAGGACAGAGCAACAGGGACTCCACAGGGAAATGTGTTTCTGTTAAAATAATGATAATCTCTTTTTTGGACACTTTTCAGTAAAATAGCAATTTTATCAAGACGTACAGAAATGGAATTAAGATGAGATGAGACCATACCAATTTTTATTGAAAATAAGATATTTTTTAGTCAACCCATGCATGCCTATTGCCTATGTCTTATGTCTCTTCAGTGTCAAAAGCTCAGATCCTTTGTTATCTAAAATTTGATTAATAATAAAACTAAATGATCTTGGTCTAATGATGAGATTTTATTCCCTAGTAGCTGGGAGGTTCGTCCTGCTGAATTCCGTTCTTCCTGTGATGCTAGGCTAGTGGAGCCAGGTTCAGGTTTAATATCAGATCCTAGCTTTGTCCTGCTCACACAACCTTCTAAATAAGAAAATTTTGTAATCGTTTTTACTTTAACTGATTGATTGATTTGACCTATCTGATAAAGTAATTATGAGGACACGCCTAATGCTAATAATTACTGCATTGTTCCTGACGCAGAAATGCGCAAGTCACTTATGAAGATAAACCAGAATTGAACAAAAAATCAGTTTTAAAGAGAAAAATATGGATATTTAGAAAAAACTTTCAATGGCGTTGTAAAGGACCTCACTAGTCTCCTGGAGTTTGTAATAACTCTTGTAATAATAGAGACAAATACCCCCCTTTCTACGCCCCTGATCAAGAAAAAAAAAATTTGAAATTTTTTTAAGCCCCTTATGGATTAAAAGAATATAGGTGCAAAGTTAGCACCATTTATCTCTATTATTACAAGAGTTATTACAAACTCCAGGAGACTAGTGAGGTCCTTTGATTTGCCAATTTTGAATGGCAAAGTGAAAACAATTGTGGACCAAACTCATTGTTAAATGACGACATTTTATGTTTCAAGTTTAGGAGAAAAATATTGCGTGGACCTTGAAATCAGTTTTACATACAGAGTTTATGGAGTATTTAATTTACTTTGTTTTACTACAGTGAATCCCAGATATATGAATACATAGCAAGAGTTTTTATAATGTCGTATTACATATTTAATATAAAATGCCGCGGAAAAATGAGTTTAATATTAAAATATATTAATTGCATTCATATTTCAGGGCTATTAATTTTTTCCCGCGGCATTTCATCTTAAATAGGTAAAGAATACGACATTTTACAAAACTCTTGCTATGTATTCATATATCTGGGATTCACTATATTTTTTTAAAGCCTATTTGTATTAGACAATTCATTCAATGTGTTTCTTCATTTTATCAAAAACAAAACAGTGCTTTTCAAATAACCAACATGAAACTAATAAAGTCAAAAAAGATAAATAAATCTCCAGAAAACAAAAAAACATTATTCACAAAAATACAAATTGTTTTGTTTTTGGTATTGACAAAGCTTTGAGGTGTATTCTGTATTGATGAGTCAGGTTAAAACATTACTGTTCTAGAGTATTCTTACCCTGAGAAACAACTATACAGACACACAAGCTTTATGCGTTTTATACATGAAAATAAAATAAGAAAAGACCAGGCTTACCGACCCATGATTCTCTATAACAGAGGGATGTTAAGCTACTTAACGTCCCTTGGGACAATTAAGTAAAATGACCATTCGTTCTGAGAAGTTTTTATAAACAAATTTGCGCATTTTCAGCTCAAAAGACGATAAAGTTTTGCACAACTACTTTTTAGGGAAATTAAAAATTTTACTAAATACGGGTTCCCTCGAGAAATTTTGCTTTGGTAACCTATGGTAGAGTAAATTCCCGTAACTTTCCTGTAACGTAGTTGAAAATAATAAAAAATACGAACAAATTAGATAATAATTATAAATACAGGAAAATTTAGTTGTAAAATTAGCGTGAATAGCAAAATGCGGGAAATTATAAATTCTAAAATAATGCGGGAAAGAAAACCTGAAGAAATCCCGCTTTCTCTTGAAGAAGAATCAAGGAAGAGAGTCAACTCTCCAGTAGGAAATCCACCATTATCCTTCAACAAAAAATTATTAAGCTTTTTAATAATTTCATAGAATTTTAATAGTTTAATTTAAAAAAGGTAAAGTAGAATGTCGTCTTTCTTATAATAAATTATATTTTATTTACCTTAGTTTGAATAAGTTGCACCGGACTAGAGATACTTTTTGATTTAGATCCCCCCACACCTTGAAGTAGGTCCACATTGTTTAGTGTTGTAGTATACGAGGACTGCACAGACAAATTCATTGAAAAATTCGGACATTTTCCAAAAATCTGGTTTCATTTTTAAATATTGTAAATAAAAAAAATTGTAAAGCTTATTTAATGAATTTCCTTTGGTTGAAAACAGCTTTTCTTAGATCTGCAAAAAAATAACAAATATATTTACTTTATTTTCATGCTTACCAATTTAAGAAATGTTTGTGCACAGATTTCCAGCAATATTACCTGAAGACGAGAAGAATGATAACGATAATGAAGACTAGAACTGAAATCATTATCACAAACCCAAGAGAAATATAACCAGACTAAACATAAAATAAAATTAGTGATTCAAAAAAAATTATAAACAATTTTTTTTATTAAAAAAAAAATAAAAAACCTGTTTAAAGAGAAGGCTTTGGACAGGTCGAGCTGGAAGAACCTGCAGAATCAGAAATCTGAAAACAAAAAGAAATATTAAAAAAGAAATAAAGATTAGCAAATTAGTTGAGGCACCCCAGACAATATTAAATGGAATACTCAGCTTTTTTGACTGTCACTTCGAAGAAATTATGTTCGACCTTTACTAAAATCCTTAAATGTTCTTTTTATCAACGAAAAACTTTATTCATTGAACAACGTTTAAAACGCCTTAGTTGGTAAAAAAGAATATTATAATTATCCAACTAAAATTAAATATGGCTGCGATAAGCAAGTCCAAAATCAAAGATGGCGTCCTAAATGAAAAGGCTCAAATTGCGTGGTATAAAACTCAAAGATGGCGGCTGCATGACAAGATCAAAATCAAAGACAACCACCAAAATGACAAGACCAAATTCAACGGTGGTCACCTAAATAACCTGTTCATTATCAAAGACGACCCTCTAAATGACAAGAAAAAATGGCTGCCTACAAAATCATAATTAAATATTACTTTGAGTCTGTATGTATGATAGTTGAGTTGGTGGATGTTTGAGTAGAACTGCAAGAGAAAACAGCTCCGCTATCCCTAACAGAAAAAATAGTGTCAATATTTAAATCATGAAGAAACTTATATAGTGAGAAAAAAATATAAAACAACCCTTTTATAAATCGGGTTAAAGCTTGTTAAAGTCAAAAGTCTTATGTTTTATGTAGAACTTCAATTTAACAAATAAAAAGTATAATAAAGATATAATTGCAAAATTGTTTTGCAATAACTAAAACAAGACAAAACAAATTTATGCACAATTTTTAGTAACATATGATTCAATGTTTGCCAAGAAAAACACACAAGCAAACAAGTAAAAATCAAAACATTTTTTTCTCCATTTGTAAATGTTGTAATCTTTACTTTGGAGAGAAAAGGTCTGTATTTGTAAGTTTAATGTAGCCTCCACATTTAAATGTTTAATTCTGACTTTTTCTCAATCGTTTCTGTAGAAGAATTATTCTGTACACAGAAGTCAAAATAGAAATTCTTAAACATACAAAGCTTTAACAGGTACTGTTGTGAATCGATATTCCACTCTATAAATGGAAGGTCACATAATATTACAACTACAGTCCTTTAACTCACACAAATTATCTCTAATTAATTTTTGTTGTCAAAATCAGTAAAATAATCCGCGAAATCGAAATATTAAAAATGGCGGCCAAAATGGCGATTAACTAACCTGAGATCAGCTGTGTAAAGAGCCTGTGACTCCAGCAGCATGAGATGAGAGTCTGATCTACTCACAACTGTCCTAATCTCAAGCTGACCCCAAAGCTCCTAAAAAAGAAGAAAAAGATGTCAAGTAATTTTAACTTAATCGACCTTTACTGTCCTTGGATATATCCAAAGAGAATAGAATATATATTAGATGGGAATTTACTAGAAAAAAGTGAAAAACGGCCATTTTGTTGTACTGTTTCCATACTGCAGGTATACTTCCCATATTTGTGCTATATAACCTTTTGGGCCCAGGAATATCATTTTATAGAAAATCTAAAATTAATATTAAAAGACCAAAAACCCAAATTATGAAATAGGCTGGTTTCATAATTGATCAATGATCATTTCACATAGGCTCTATGCATTTCACTTTACAAACGATGATTTTCCGTTATAACTATAAATCAAATGATGTTGTTTATTCACCTGATTCAATTTATAAAGTTTATTTAACAGCTTCAAAAATTCGAAATTGAAATGGATAGTCTAGGTAACATACTGTATTTATGTACTCTACTACATATAATTTGTGAACATTTACATGATTTGTATACATTGAACTCCCTTTTAGGCTGAAAAAATTCCCTTTCAGACTGAAAAAATTCATACCGAGAGATTCTCTAAATTCCCCTCTGATATATATTCTATTCTCTTTGGATATATCTAATATTTGAAAACAAATAAGGCTTTAAAAAAATGAAAAACCGTTACAAATGTATCTTAGTGATACAACTTTAAAAAAAGGTTCTGTTTTTTTTTACTTCAAATGTAAAGTAAATTGCATTTGCAAGTCATCTGAAATATCATTGGAATTGAAAAATTGATAAAAGAATATATATATCATATATGCCTTAACTTCAGTTAGTTGCATTTTTTATTTTTTTTATTTTGTAAAATTTATCCAAATCTATATTTTTCTTATTACTTTAAAAAATAAATTTTGTTTAATATTGCTCTGAAAACAGTTTTAATTTTCACCAAATCTAAAAAGTATAAATTTGTATTTTATTTTCATCGTCTGAAAGAAAATTAAATCTTTGCCACAAACTCTGCTTTTCTATCTTAATATCTTTGCCACCCAATGTCGTAGACCTTAGGCCTAAACTATACATTTTGTTAGATCAAATAATCTAAGTTTGAAAAATAAAAAATGGATTTGGGTTGTGCCAAAAACCCAATTCCTTAGAAAAAAAATAAAAAATGTACAGTGAGATTCAGAAAACATGGAAAGTAAAATTTGATTACCTTATCTGTTTCCCAGCTAAGTGTTGGGGCCGGAAACACGTGACTTGATCTACAAACTAGTTCAGCTCTCTCCCCCTCTACCACCACAACTCTACATAGTTAAATAATTTTACTTTATTTAAGAACCATCTTATCAAAATGTATTTTGGGTTATTGTAGTCTTTTAACGCTTCAAAAAATCTCACATTTTAGAGTCAAATGTTTTTTCCAAATTCATCCTTTTTTTGGCCATCTTGAAATGAGATATTTCTTTTCGTTCAAACTCTAATACAATTTACTTTTTTTATACACGTATTTTTGGTAATGCTCATTGATCATTGATCAAAAAATTATTCATAAAATGTATTTTTGCTGAAATTTTGATGAAAGAAGTAACCAGGGAAATAAAATAATAGAATTGTAAATAAAATGATTCATTACAAAGTAATAAAGAATCAACAGTGTAGATTTATAATGGAGGATGTTTAATTCAAATATAAAAATCGTGCAAATAAGAACTTAAAAAAACTTATTAAACATCACAGAATAACTTATACATTCTGTCAAAAAAAAACTACAAGGAAGAAAAAAGATATACGTTGAGTTTTTTTTTGTGTGTTAAAAGTCACAAATTCAAATAAATGGTCTTGAAAAACATCCACGTCTTTAGTAAACTGATAAATAAAAATATAAAATTAACATTCTGATAGAATTGGTTATCGCTCTCTTAGAATTATAGAACAAAACTTTAGCATCACATTCACATAATATGATAGAATCCCATAAAAAAATGCACTCCTGCAGCATAAAGAATTCTGGACTTCGGCATGTCAGAATTTTGCAGAGTTTAATAATATTTGATAAATTGAAGGAGAAAATGAAAATTTTTAATAATCATAAATTTTTTTTTTAACTATTTCCAAAAATTGATCTGTTTTCTCGTAAAAATCATTTATTAACAATTAAGTGAGGCAAACCAGAAAAAATTCGCTCCATGCAAGAATACCTAACTTCTGGGAAAGGATGATTTTTATAAAGGGGGTGTTAATGATTTTATAAGAAAATATATACCCCTGCAATATTAAAAGCAACTTACTTCTGTTCTGGAATAAGATGAAGAGGAGCGGATCTATGAACCTGAAGCTGGAAAGATTGTCTTACTGCTAGATAACTTTCTTCCTCACTAGAATATAACAGTTTTAGGGACATATTAGACCAACAGGGGGTGGGGCAAAGGGCGTTTTTTCGCCCCCCCCCCCCTTTATCCATCTTTAGACCCCCAACTTGTCCATTAAAGATAACAAGGATATACTATTATATCCAAAACTTATTTTATCAAGGTCTACAACATCGGGTTGCAAAGACATAGGGATAAAAAAATCATAATTTATGGCAAAAAAATTATGAATTAGATTTTTTTAAATTCTGAACAAAATTTCCATTTTTACATGTGTTTAATAATAAGTAATTCCTAGAAACTAAGAACTTCCAAAGTTTAAATGTCTCTTCTATGCATTATCTTATGCATATTAAACTTTCATAATTTGACCCACTCTGAAAAAATTGGAAAATTTGGATTAAAATTAAAGAAAAAATGGAAAATGTGGATTAAGGTTAAAAAACCGATTCTCAAAATCATCCAAAATGACCAATCTATGAGGATTTTAAAGATTGAATTTGCTCTCTTGCTGAATAAATATGCACCGTAAAAACGTCTCATAGGTCTCAAATGTATCTGTCTCTGCAATTCTACATTCTCAGCAAAACTATCATGCCTAGCCAGACACACCCTTTGAAGTCAAAGCACATTTTTTTTATCATGAAAACCTTGACAATTCTGATTCAATCATGAAAAAAATAAGAGAAACCCAGTTTTCTCATCAGAGAACAATCTCTTTAATTTTCTTACCTGAGAACACAGTTCCACGATCCATGGTCTGCCAGTTCCACGCTAGAGATATTCATGGAACAGGAACTAGAGTTCCCAGAGAGATGAATCCTGTAACATGAGTCAATTGAAAAATAAATCAACAAATTTATTTTGAAAATCTAATTGTAAAATTCTGAAAGAAACTTTTTCAATTCTTAACATTGAGAGTAACAACTTGAAAATAAATTATCATTTAAAAAAAAATTTGCTGTTCACGTCTCAAATCAGAATTAGGAAGAAAAAATATTTTCTGTTCACGTCTCAAATCAGAATTAGGAAGAAAAAAATATTTTCTGTTCACGTCTCAAATCAGAATTAGGAAGAAAAAAATATTTTCTGTTCACGTCTTAAACCAGAATTAGGAAGAAAAAAATATTTTCTGTTCACGTCTCAAATCAGAATTAGGAAGAAAAAAATATTTTCTGTTCACGTCTCAAATCAGAATTAGGAAGAAAAAAATATTTTTTTTGCTTTCAAAATAATACTAATTATTACATCTTCGATTTCCACAGTATTTTTATCAGAGTCAGAAACTTTAAAACTGAGCTCGGATAATTTAGTTGCAATATTCAAGGAGGTTGGAAAACAGGCTTTGTGATATATATTTATCTAATTAGTCTATTTTTTTTATTTAAAAACATAATTTTGGTAAATATTACTTCTCCAAAGGAATCAAGTTTGCCACAATCTCTAATTTTCTAGCCTAACCTAACCTAACCTATATATCTAGGCAACCCAATATCAAATACCTCAGATATTTCAACTAATGAACTTTATTTGATCAAATAATCTAATTAATTGAAATATAAAAGGATTACACCTTCAGGTTAAATATATATTGGGATTAAAAAAATTGAGTTTGTGGCAAAGACTCAGTTCCTTTCTTTAGATTTATGTGTTCCAACAAAAAATGTTTTTAAAATTTTCGTTGCAAACCAGACTAGGTTTGTGTATATATTTATCAGAAACAACATTCTGGCAAACATTAAAAAAATATGAGATTTTTGATAGCCCAATTTTTTCGCTTAATTAAGATTACTTATCAACCTACATTATATTTTTATTGTGAGGGATCACATGACGGAAAGTAAATGAAAATTATTATTGTATGAATTTTTTTTCAAAATTAATGTAAATGAAATGTATATTTTTAACCTGTCATTTGAATCGCAGAGTTCTGTTCTATATTTTAGACTGCACAATCTCAGACCTTGAATATCATTCTTTAATATATCAGACAAATTTATGTTTTTACTGTTTTGTTTTTTTAATTTTTCTTAGCTATAAACATTTTTAAATTTTTTTAAAGACAACAAACTATAATAAGATAAAATAAAAATTAAAAAGAGTAAAAAATTATTTATTTATGAAATATAACAAAAACATACAAAATTAAGTGATTCAGGAGAAAATATTTAAAAACCTCTAAAAGTAGAGGTTGTGGGAATATTTCCCCCCAATTCTAAAAAATATAAAAAGTAAGAATAAAAGAAATAGGAAAGGAAAGGCCCTAAGGAAAGTTACATATTTATTGTTTACACTATATTTCATATAAATTGGTGGTGGATTGTTTGTATTTTTCGACGATGAACTAACAACTTTTAGAAATAAAAGTTATAGATTTATTTTTCATGTTAAAAAAAAGTAAAAAAACCTTATAGAGTGTGAACGAGATATATGTTCTACGAAAATTTGGAATTTTTAAACATCTTTTTAATTCGCGCTGATTTTTGACATCATTTATGTTTGATTAAATCTTTTACTCAGAGAAAGTTTGCATTTCATTATTTTTTTCCTTTTTTTCTGAACAATTTTAGATTAATAGATATAAATCTTTTCTGAAATTAATTTTTTTGGAAACATTTTTTTAAAAGATACCTTTGGGGCCTTCCCAGACACAGAGAAACCACGGTCTTGATGAGTTACAAGTTAAAATTAAACTTTTATTCTCTTTCGACTCAACATCAATTGCCCTTGGTTGGTGAGCGTCAAGCACTTCTTGAAGTTCCATTTTTTCACGCGCTTTATTTGTATATCCTCCTTGGGCACTGTCCAAAATCATCCAAACAAGATAAATTCCAAAATTCATTGTCTAGCTATTATTTAGTTATCATTCATTAATAGTTTATGTTAGTATAACTGTTTCTATAACTGATAGCATACAGATGCTTCTAGCTGATGAGCACTGTTATCAGATGAGAGGTTATCAACGGACTGATTCCTTGAAGATAAGATAGTTTGAGGAAGGGTATAAGGAAGGGGGTTAGACGAGTAAAGGGAATGATTTCTCAATTATAATCCTACATTTCCTGATCTAGCCCAAAAAATTATTTCCTGTGTGTTATTATTATTATCATAAAGATTTATTCACACACAAAGATATTCATACATAAAATGGTGTGGTTTAAATTTGTTTAAATATTTCGAATACAGGCGACATTTATCATTACTCATCGCATAGCTTATTTATCATTTCGGTTCCTACGTTATCATAGAATCCTTCTACATATAAATTATTTATTCTTGTATTTAATAGATCTTGTAATCTCGGAACTTTCCATGCATGGCCCAATGGGAGAAATGGGACATCAAAATTGTTTCTGAACTAACATTTTACTAAGATCCGATAGATTTACAAAACAATCATTTGCAATGGAAACTATATTTCTGCCAAGAACTGTGTTAAGGTCATTTTTACATAAATTAGAAAGAAATCTAATGCAAAGCTTAGAACTTGCTTCAATAGTCTCATAGAAAGACACACATCTGCTATGCTAAAATAGTTTTTACATGTAAACATTGTGAAAAACTTTCAATTAAATACGTATGCGTATCTCTAGAACTGAATTATCATAATTTTTTTTCGACCTTGAGTTTTTAAAAAGGATTTCTAAAAATGCATAAAATCCCGCCATCTTTTTAATCTTTATTAGATTAGAAATTATCTTCCTTATGATTATTTTTTTCATAACGTTTCCAAAACATATTGTCACAAATTTGTTGCAATGCACTAGTTGCCGCTTAACCAAACTTCAAAAATTGCTATTCGCTATACAGCGTAATTAAATTGTAAGGAACTCACACAAATCTGCCCCTTTTGTAAAAGTAAATTGAACCTATATGAAGCATAAAGTCTGACCGCGTCAACCTTGTTGCACCGGCTAGTCCTGTCTATAGAGCTAGGTACAAAACAAACTTAGACTGGAAAGGTTGACCCGCTCGGAAATTCGAATGTACTACGGCTGCCCGTGAACTGTAAACTATAGTTCTAATATAAAAGCATTTGTAAACCGATTTTTTAGAACACATCGAAAACTCTAATCCCAGATATATGAATACATGGCAAGAGTTAGATATTTAAAATCAAATGCCGCTCAAAAATGAGTTTAATCTTAATATATCAATTGAATTCATATTTCAGGGCTATTCATTTACCTTGAATCAAAAATAAAAAGAAGTTTCTTTAGAATTATACATTATACAAAACTCTTGCTATGCATTCAATTTATATATCTGGGATTCAATGTATATAATCCCTATTTACTTAATATTTTCGATTATGATTATCGGAATTCCTTATAATTTAAATATCCAAAGTATAAAAGAATGTATGGATTAGTAAATTATGGAGTAGTAACAAAACATCTACATATATACTTTGTTTGTTTGGCCGTTTGTATCCAATAAACGTCAAAACGGCTGAACCGATCGTGAGACCTCGTTTGACCCTATTGAAGGTTTATGAATGATCAAGTTTTCAAAAATTTGTATCTAACAAAATCCAATTTTTGAAAATTTCACATAAAAGCCCAGTAACTTACAATAAATATATGTAAAATTACTGCAGCAGTAGAGCTAGAATACCTGAAATATTTTAAACCTCCATTTTTTTTGTACACCCGTAAATTTTTGACAACCACCAGCGAAATTTTAAATGTTTTGATTAATTCTACGATTTCGGCTAAATTGAAAGTTTCTATAGAATTTTCCGTTGATTAACATATTGTTAATATATGGAGTTGTGCCCCGCGACCCAAGGTATTGATGTAATTTCAGTTTCAATTTCTAATCATAATTAACATCTTGGGGCGGGTTACGAGGCATATTTTCAAGTATACCTGAAGTTATTTCAGGGTGGACCTTAATTGTAGGACAACAAACAAATTTTCTCTTAAATATTTGCGGTTGTATAGTAATTTCAACGCATAAAAACTGTTAAATCCATAAAAGACGAAGAATAGAAAAAAAATGAATTGAGTCTTTGACACAAACTCAAATTTCTAATCCCAATATCTTCACAACATGATTGTGTAAATCTTTAATATTTCAAACTTAGATGTTTTAATCTAACATAATTTATTGTTCGAAATATCTCGGCATTATGATGTTGGGAAAAAAATGATTAGAAAATCAGAGTTTGTAGCAAAGGCTGCATTCCTTTGTAACTTTTGCGAAATCAATTCTGTAGAAATTTAAAGAAAATCCTTTAAACAAATATATCATATATTATCTGCTTGGATATCATAAACATATAATCATGGATAACTAGTTTAATGATGAATATCTCTTACTAATTTATTTTCTTAATAAACCTGACGTAATAAATGTATCTTAGAGCATTTGCTAGAAATTCCAATCCTTCTTCCCCCATTATACCCCTCCCCCTTACAATACTCCTTTGTAACTTTATAACATTAACATTTCACTCCCATTTTTAATAAGCAATCACATTTCATCTTTGTTGAGTTTTTTAATATAATCTACGCAATAACTATTAAGCACAAATTGACTCCTACACTTTCATATCCCATTCTCTCTCTCCCCCCTCCTTCCCTTACCCCTTCTTATAGGATTAGTGAGTTATCTTATTTGTGTCGTGCCCAAGGAAGGGGGGGCTGGGAGATGGAGGAAAAGGGCGGAGGGAGGGAGGGGGGTAGGAAGGGTTTGAAGAAGATAGAATAAGAGGGAAGGGTTGGTATGAGATATTATATGCATCCTTATGTAATATATATATACAGGGGTGTCTAAAAACGGGGAATAAGACTATGCAGACTTGTTTGTAATCGGATTTTCAAGATTGAGGCCATTTTTCAATCTACGTACAATTTCTGATTCAATGAGCCCATTTTAAGGCTTGTAGATCTAAAAATATTAATTTTAAATAGATTTAAAAACTGGTCTCAATCTTGAAAATCCGATTACTAACGAGTCTGTAGACCCTTATTCCCTGTTTTTTTGGACACCCTGTATATATATATATATATATATATATATATATATATAAAATTCTGCAGTCTTAATTAAAAAGGTTGTTTTGAATATGGATTAGAGTTGTATACAAGGATATATATCACGCAGGTCTAATTATTTGGATACACGGTGTTACCCACAAAGAAGGAGGCTCTTTTGACTACCTACAATTCTTAAAATATTTATACAATTCAGATATATACCGAGGCACGGGCAGCCGCAGTACATTTGAATTTCAAGGCCGGGTCAACCTTTCCGATCCTAGTTTGTACTTTACCTACCTCTATGGACAGGACTATCCGGTGCAACAAGGTTGACACGGTCAGACTTTATTCTTCATATAGGTTGAATTTACTGTTAATAAAGGGGCAGAGGTGCGTGGAGGTTTCCTCCGGTAAAATTAGCCTTTTAATTGCCTGTTAAATTAAGTCTCATCCTTTGTGGGTAACCCTTTTTTGAATACATATCACACAGATCTAACCATTTGGATACATATCACACAGATCTAACCATTTGGATACATATCACACAGATCTAACCATTTGGATACATATCACACAGATCTAACCATTTGGATACATATCACAAATACCTAACCATTTGGATACATATCACACAGACCTCAATATTTGGATACATATCACATAGACCTCAATATTTGGATACATATTACACAGAACTAAATATTTGGATACATATCACATAGACCTAAATATTTGGATACGTATCACGCCACCCCAGACTAACCAGAGTGAGCAGCATTCGGTTTCTTCTATTTGAAATCAAACGTGTTTTGTTTTATATATTTCAACAATCTTTTAACTTAAGGATTTGTTTATTCTATACATTTTCATTCAAAATACAAATACCAACAAAAAAGTGATTCAGAAAAAAGGCTAAAATTTATGTTTAATGAGTCAAATTGTGATCGAAAGTCACAGCTTTGCGGAATATTGACAGAACTGTTAAATCCACGTGACGCAGACCTAAATATTTGGATACCTATCACGAAGACCTAAATATTTGGATACATATCACACAGACCTAAATATTTGGATATATATCACGCAAACCTAAATATTTGGATACATATCACACAAACATAAATATTTGGATACATATCACACAGATCTTACTATTTTGATAAATATCACGCAGACCTAAATATTTGAATACATATCACACAGACCTAAATATTTGGATATATATCACACAGACCTAAATATTTGGATATATATCACACAGACCTTAACTATATGTCACACAAACATAAACATCATCCTTATTTAATCTCAGTAATATAAAAATATTGTGAAGCTTCTATATTGTCCTGAACTCTAACCAAAAGATATAGTGATAACCAGAAAACTCAGAAATAGGAAGACGACTTTATAGAAGTACTTAAGCATATATGATGGTGTTACAATGCAAATAGTTTTATTAGACACTAATTAAATCACTTATCAAGTAAAATGGGTCTGTTTACACTGAACACTTTCAGTGTACCATGCTTATTGGACTCTTTAAAGTCAAAACTTAATCCTAAAAGTCATCTTCCTATTCCAGAGTTTTCTGGGTATCACTGTATTTAAATGTAGACACATTTTCCTGTTAATGCGATATATTTATGATACTGATATGTTATTGTTTTCCTGTTAATGTGATATATTTATGATACCGATATGTTATTGTTTTCCTGTTATTGCGATATATTTATGATACCGATATGTTATTGTTTTCCTGTTAATGCGATATATTTATGATACTGATATGTTGTTGTTTTCCTGTTAATGCGATATATTTATGATACCGATATGTTATTGTTTTGCTTTTTTCAAATTAAAACAAAACCAAGGTTTTTTAAAGTTTCTTCTTGCAGTTAAGCTGTAGTTCATTTGATTAGAGGATATATTAAAGGATGAAAGGGGGGGAGGGACTATCCTCCACACC